ATTGGACGCACACACACACACGGACTTTCACTTTCACGCAGCGAAGCCGCAGCGCAAGAAAAGCGTTTCTCTAAGGGAAAACTCTGGGATAAACGCGTGCGTACGCAATGGAAAACGCATTGACACGCGGCCGCCTGCTTATCGTTGTCCCTGGCAATTGTTTTTTTAATTGAATTGTGTATCAGAAATGAAGGAGGCTCCACCCCCCGCACCCCGCTCCACGCCCCACGCCCCGTCAAGTTCGTTGCCATGACAGCGGCGGCCTGGCGGGTGGGTTGGATTGGATTGGATTGGATTGGATTGTTGGTTAGCCTGTCTTGAATATTGACCTCATTGTCGGCAAGAAACAGAAACAGAAACCGAAACGGAGTCAACGCACATGCCCCCCTTTTCGTATTGACCTAGTTCCAAACATTTTCGAACCGAATCCCACACGCATTTCAGGGTCAACCCCGAAAAAGTATTTTCATTTGATTTTTTGCAATATTTTGCACTATCCCTCTTCTGATGTCGTCAGATATTTGAACTATTTCTGGTTTTCTTTCGTTTAAAATGTGTTTTTCCTTTAGTTGTTTTTCAAGTGTATCTAAATATTTTTTGTATCTTTTTTTCTATGTATGTATATGCATCCGCACATATGTATTTCTGCTTAATATTAATTAATGTCTAGCTGGGACTCTACGTTACGTTCCACGCAAAAATTTATTTAGAGACTCACATTTTTTGAAATATATATAATCATTACTTTGAGTTAAAGAAAATATAAAACTGTTTGGAAAAATAACTTAAGAAATTGTTGAAAATTTCAGAGAAGAACTTGGGGATTTGCGGAATCTGAAAGGATTAAAGATTCAAAAAACGATGAATTATTGGACACTTTTTTAAAGGGTTTCGCGAGAAGGTTTGAAGTGGTTTTGAAGGGCTAAAAATAGAGCCAAAACTATTTAAAAGAACAAGTTTATTTATTGATAACTTTAAGGCCTAAAAAAGGGAATATATCGTTTAGAAATATATGAAAAAGATACGGTTTTATGAGTTACTACGATTCTGGGTAATTTCATAACCAAAATCAAAGAAATTTCTCATTAAAACTTTGGACAAATAACTATAGGGCTTTCTGGATAATTTTAAAGCCTTAAGAAGTGAAATATTCTCCAAAAAAGCTTGAACAAATATAAGTCCTAAGAACATTATGATTTAGGAATCATTTGTAAGCCTAGAAAAGTGAAATTTATCATCCTTTCTTTGTTTTAAAAGAAAAACCCTCCCCAAAAATGAGTACCAAAGATCATTAACCCTCTCAACGTTGATATACCCCAAATGTTTATAAGAATTTTAACAGAAATAATGCAATGGGCCATTAATCTCTGTGAAAGTGTCGTTATAGCAGTCCGAATTGTTTCCCCATCTTGACCAAACAATTTTTCATATTTTAATGAGACAAAAATTACGAGACATATCGTAAAAAGACCCTGATATTATGCATATATATGTCTGTATATAGTAGCTATCGAGTGTACTTGTACGTGTGTTCCTCCCGGCCCTCCCAATCTGTCACTTTTTAACACTTGCTCTCCCATGTCGCCAAAAGAACAAATTGTATTCTTTCGACTGTTATTTTTGGGGATTTTCGCTGAGAAAAAATACATATTTTCGGATTGACGGAAGTGCGCGTGTCGGCGCGACGCCATTTAAGCTAAAAAATATATGGAATATGGCTATATAATGTATACGGAGAGAGAAACAAAAAACGTACGAATGCATTAATATTTCAATGGCGTTTGGAACGCGCAAATCTGTGACGCCCTCGAGTCGCGGTATTTGGCAAAGTTCGATGTTGAAACCTGACTTGAATACCGAATGATATCGGCGGCACTTGATTTCCCTATATAGAAATTACAATATCTTTCGAACAGTAGCCACAGATACATGGCCTGTGTATCGGTGTATCTGTGTATCCGTGCGTCTATAGGGAATATATAAACCAGTCGGCCATCAACTAAATGTCGGCCCTGTGGCCTGCATAAACAATTTGACGTCAATTCGAATGGAAATAAAGATCTGCCTCTAGAACCGGCCAAAAATCAAAATAAACCTAATGTTTTTTATTTGTTTTTCTCTTGGGTATAAATCAAAAAGCCATTAGAAATTGTCTGGAAAAGATACGAAGAAGAAAAATGCGTTTTTCTGAATGGATTGCTATACTTAAAGTGTGGGTTAGGGCTATGCCTTCCTTGCAGATTGAGTCTACGCTCAATGGAAACCCAGGGGGGCTGGTGGTGGGGAAATGCAGGAAAAACACTCAAAAGAAATGCAGTGCCAAAGGGCGGCTTTTGGCAAACAAAAGCAAAAAGCTTTTGGCCAAGTTTTTATGTGGCATGCAACATTGAAAAATAAATAGGCAGAGAGCCCAAGAATATTTAGCCGGTGACCCTTAAAAAGCAATATTTGACATTTGTGCTCAAAAGATACATTTTATGAGTGCGGCAAAAAGAGAGACAAAAAACCAGAAAGAAAAGGTATGAGAAATGGTCTATAGGTCAGAATATAAGGCAGGAATTGGTTGGAGATGTGTGTGGATCTGGTGGATATTGAGTGGAAAAAGATCTGGTAGAAGTTGGAGGATTATCGCGGATAGATAGAAACCAAGAAATCTCTGGTCTCTCCTAGTTTCACCTAGAAAACGACATTTATGACAGAAATCCATCAAAAAGAACTCTTTTTGGACACTTTCAGAGTTCTCAAAATGATATACCATCCCCCCCTACGTTTGCACGCTTTCATCGGTAGCATAAAAACTTTCAACCGAAATGATTTAAGGCATTCCTTCAGTCAGATTTGAAGCCAACAAATGATTTTAGTTGGACTTTTTTTGGTGGGAGGCCTTAATTGCCGACAAGATGATCCAATTTTAGAGATAGAGAGGAAAACTATTGGAAAAGCACACACACACAGACACACACGCACATGGATAGATAGATACGGCTGCCAAATAGATACAAAAATACGTAAAAGATTCTAAGCAAATGGAATAGATACAGATACAAATTGGAATACGAAAACTGAATGATTCAGCCACACCTCTCCTCGGTGGATCTTCTCCTATACTGATGTAACAGAAACGGATGTTTACATAGACAGCTGCTGTACTGTACTTACACTTATGGCGCGTACTGTTGGGCATTTATATGTAGATGTGGATGTGGAGCTGCTTTTATCATTCCAGAACTGAAAGTTAGTCGCTCTTCTGTTGCGATTTCTACCTTTCTTTGTGGCTTTTGTTTAGGCCGCTCACGTTGTCACAGAAACACGACGACGCGCAAGGAGGGGGCCACAGGGGGACAGCGGGACAGGGGGGGCGCGAGGTTAAGGTGTGGACGGTTGACAGGGGGAGGGTTGGGATAGGGCCCAAAGTATGTTAGAAAGTAAAACGCGCGAAACAACAGCAACTATTGATTACTGCGGCACAAAACACAACACAGCACTCCGTCCCACGACGGACAACGGGGGCACTCGCGGCGTACTGGGCGGGGGGGAGGGGGGACCGCTCCTCTCACAAGCCGTCGCCGGCTGAAGTTATCGCAGAGTTGGGAGTCGATTTTTGTTGTGTTGTGACAGGTCCCGCCCGCTGTTGGCGCGTTTCCGTAGACAAATCCAATTAGCGATACGAAATGCGCACACCAGACAGACACACCGACGGTTTCCTCGAGATAAAACCTTTTAAATCCGTTTCAAAATCGCCTTCTTTAAATGCAATTTTCCCAACAAAAAAAAAACAACAAAAAAACGCCACAAAATATTTGAAAAATCCACCAAAAAGACCACGGGCGCGTAGGAGAACGGGAATGCCGAGAACGCCCCGGATGACGGCGGAAGGACGGTAGACGGTAGATTGCGAGGCGCACGGGAAGACAACTAAAGCAAAACTGAACAGAAGACCAATCCGTAACGGAATCACAACCAAATAGCCAAAGAATAAGAGAGCTTTTCCACTCAGAACAGAGGCAAAAACACTCGGGCGGGGGGGAAAGGCGTGAGGGAAAATTCTATTTTTGCCAACAGAAAAAACCGACTCAAAGCAGATGAAAATGTTTATAGAATCGAAAGAGTGAGTGGCAGTAGTGGGTGCATGGCGCGCCGGCGTCCCTCGGAATGAAAGTGAATATTGTGTGCGTGAGGGCGGGAAAAAGCATTGAAAATTAACTTATAACGGTGCGGCGCACACTCCACTCACCTTGACATTCGACAGCTGGGAAATCTGTGTCGGGCATCAACAGCTGTTTGGATAGAATACTTTCGATTCAAATATCCTTCCATTTCCTTGTCCAAAGTTATCCAACTCCAAAATTGCCTTCCATTTCCAAAGCTTCCTTCCATCCCCACACAAATGCACTTTTTACACACGCACTTTACACACACACAAACACTGCATTTACCGGTTGACAGAAGGCGCAGGGGGCCCTAAAACCACGTTTTGTTGTTGCCGCAAAAGTCGTACATTTGTGCCGCCAGCAAAACTTAAAGCAAAAAACTTACCTATATATGGCTGATTGATTGAGCCCTATACCTGAGCACCTATTAAACGCTAAACTAAGCACTTAATCACATCATTTTAATTATTAACAACTATCACACACACACACACTTATGGCACGCGGGTTAATAAATTTTCGCGCCGCAAATTGTTCCAATGGGAATTTTGGTTGGTTTCGGGTTAAATTTTTCCGCACACCGCGTAAAATCAGCAACGGTGGCTCTGCATAGGCACAACAGTACAAAGGATAGTATATTGAATCGATTTCGGATCAGTATTTATTTAATTAAACCAATAAAACTTAGGAAAACCGGATATTATTTTGGAATATTTTGTTTGGACAGTGTTAGTGTTGTGAAATTTGCAGGGCAAACATATGACTGGCATGTCTAGACTCTAGAGTGGGAAAACGCTGCGGTTGGCAGAGTTGCAAAATGTCGATGGTCTTGCAGCCCTAGAAAGAACGCATTTGGTTAAAACGTGAGAATTGATTTGAATTTCTCAGCCAAGAACGCATCAAATACCAGCCAAAAATGGCCCGTTCTGAGGTGGAGACCAAACCGAAGCCCAAGGGCAAAAAGCGCAAGCACGAGAAAGCAGCAGCTGCCTCGAATAACAGCAGCGACGACGAGGTGGCCACCAAAAGTTTGATTGTGGAGCCCGAAATGGAGGAGCAAGCGCAGAGAGCAGGTAAGTGGGAGCATTGCTGTCCCAGAGAATATCCATTTACCTTGCAAATCCATTCAGGCAAGCGTAGGCAAAAGGAAAATGACGCCTTGGCCAAGCAAAAGCGCATTAAACAGTCCCCAGTAGCCGTGGCCCCCGAAGAGGTGGAGGATAACCCACAAATTAGTCCCCGGAAGGTAGCCAAACGCAAGCAGCGTGAGGAGGCGGCTGCCCTCAAAGCGAAACGCAGCAAGGACGATGGGGACGATGATGAGGAAAACGAGGAGAGCCTGCCCACAGATGCACAACTGCAGGAGGCCTCCAAGCCGGAGAACACCAAAGCCATTGTCACCGTGCGCCAGAAGAAGAAACAGAAGCATCAGCAGCGTCTCGAGGCCCAAAAGGACCAGAACTCCAACAAGGAGGCCAAGCGCAATGAGGAGTACCTGCTGCAGTGGAAGAACTCCCGGGCGGAGTGGAAGTTCGTGAAACTACGCCAGATATCCATACAGCAGACGGCCTTCGATGAGGAGAAGCTTGCTGCAGAGATCTGGGACATAGCCCTGGAGTATCTGGCCAGTTCCCAGGGCGCAGCTCGCGCAAAAATCAGCAAACTGGCTGATGAGGTCATCGAAAAGCTGGACAAAGAGGGAGAGAAGCTTGAGGATGAGGCGGAGCGCCAGAAACTGATAGAATCTACACGCTATCAGCGAGCCCGTGACCTACTCCAGAGCTTCGATTGAGTGTTACGCCTATTGTTAGTGTTTTTTCTCTAGAATTTAATAAATAAAACTCTTTCTATTTTGTAAATTACAAGTCCACGTAGGCCAAGAGCTTGTCCATCAGATCCACGCGCTGCTGCAGCAGCTCCTGCTGCTCTTCCTTCAGCTTGAGCTTCGACAGCTGCTCCTCCTGCAGCAGAAAGTGCTGCATGAACAGACGAATGCTCTGCTTGAACTGCTGCAGCTTGGAGTTCTTGGCAATGCGCTCGAACGACTGCTGCAGCTCTCGCTCGTCGCTGGCGAGTAGCAGCTTCACCATGATCTCGCGCATGAAGAAGAAACTAAGCCTCTCCAGCTGCATAAAGTCAACCACTTTGAGCACAGACAACTGCAGCCCCGCGGAGAGTATCAACTGCTGCAGAAAGCTGGCAAGATTGCGGATCTGCGCCTTCGACAGCGATTCAATGTCGTTGATGCGATCCCAGGTGGCAAATTGAAACGCCAGCTGGTACTTTCGATTGTACTGACAGAATTTGAGGGCCAAATGCGCATAGTAGGGATTCGCGCGGCGCTCGTTGAGGGCGCAATGTATGATCACATAAGCCACCGCGCGCTGATCCTTTAGCGACAAGTGGAGGATCTTCTCGAAGGCATCCACGTAGTCGGCGGCACTCATGATGATGCAGAAGATATTCCTTCGCTCGGCTGTGTTCATCTGCTGCTTTTTGGCCAGCTCCAGCAGTTGATCGGCAAATCCCGCAGAGGATCCCGACTGGTTCGGCTTCTGCTTGGATGCCGTGCCCATTTCGTTGAGGTTCCCCGTCCAGGCAGAGCCCACAATCCACCATTTGCCCACCTTGTCGGCGCGCAGCAGATCCGCCAGCGCGATGTTGAGGGTCACAACATAGCGATCGTTCTTCAGCATGGCCTTGAGCCGCTTGCGCAGGTTCTCCGCCAGCTCGGGGTCGTATTGGGGCAGCTTGTTCATGTTGTTGTTCTTCACGGCATTCAGTATGTCCACCATGAAGCGCAGGCGGGGATTCTCCTTGAGTTCGAGCGGTGCGGCGGCAATCTTTGACTGAACATTCTGCATCATGGTCTTGAAGGCCAACGGATCGTCCTTGCGCAGGCGGAACCCTATCGACTGGAAGATCAGCAGCAGACATTCGACTGTCTTCTCGCAGAGGTTGTCGGCCAGGCGACCGATCAGCTCCATCAGCAGACTCAGTTCGTAGATCTTGAAGATGTACATGTAACAGAGGAGCAGCACAACGTTGTTCAGCTGCTTGTCCTCCACTGCCAGGCTGGCCAGATGCCCATCCTTCAGATGCCCGTCAAAGAGCTCCACAAAGGTCTGCAGAAAGTGTGCGCCAATCTCGCTGCCGATTTGCGCGTGCAGATACGCCAGCAGCACCATATGCTCTTGGACCATGCGCTCCTGGGTGCGTGTCGGTCCCAGCAACGCCTCCTGCAGCAGCCTTGTGAGCGTCTCGTTCATGTTGTAGCGGGAGTTCTTCATGTAGAGGGCCTCAATGCCGACGGCAATCTTGTGGAGATTGGCCTCGGACAAACGATTCAGCAGACCCTTGCATTGTTTGAGGAGGCGTGCCAGGATCTCGGCCTGCTTTTCGTTTGTGCCGGCACTGGCTGCTGCCATTAGGGCACGCTGATGCGGCGGTATGTACTTCTGGCCGGCGGCTGTGGCCTCCTGTTCGATGGGATCGGGCAGTATGTTGCCCTCGGCGTCGCGTTTTCGGCCATAGATGTCTTCCTTGACTATAGGGAGGGAGATGTGAGTTTAATGGAGGTGGGACCCACTTGGAGATACTCACATTTGGACGGCTGCTCATCCTCCTGCTGGTCTTCATCGTCTTCTTCGCTGTACTCCTCTTCGGAATCATCCGTTTCGCTCTCCTCTGCTCCTTCCGATTCACTGTCGCCGTCGCCTTCTGGCAGCTTCATTTCCTCGTCTTCACCTTCATCCTCGTCACTCCACATGCCCGCCTCTTCCCTCTCCTGCTGCTCTTTCATCTGGCGCTTTCTCTCCTGCTTTTCCTCCCACTTTTGCTTCTCCTCATCATCGTCCAGGCAAAAGTCCAGCAGGTAATCCAAGCCATCGTTGAACATCTTGCGGACCAAACGATTCTTGTCCTTGCTTTTGTTGAGCTTCAGCTTCTTCTCCAGCTTGGCGATCTCCCGGTCCTCCTCCTCATTGTCGACCTTTAGCTGCTTCACCCGCTGCTTGCGGGCCTTGCCCTGCAGCTCCTTCTGCTGTCGCAGCTCACGTCTGCGCACCTCCATCTCATCCTGGCGCTGGATGGCGCCGCGCTGCACCTTCGGCTTCTTTCCCAGCGGTTCATAGGTCTCCACCTTTCTGCTGGCGGGAAGGAGGGCATCTACCTCGGCATCGCTGAAGTCCGAGGCAATGGATTCGTCATCATCCGCGTCCACTTCCCCAGACAGCAGCTGTTCCACGGGAATCTCCTCGGGATTCACTTTCGCTCTCCTCTTCTTCTTCTTCTTCTCTCGGCCGCCCTTTGACGACTGCGCGGCCGCTTCCGCAGCGACCACGCGCTGTGTACCGTTTGTTTTTCCCGCATGGTAGAGCCTCTTGTGGGTTTTCTTCACCTCCTGTTTCTGTTTGCGCTGCTCCTTGCGGGTGAGACGCTTCTTCATGGGCTCCTTTTTCCTGATTTTAACCATTTTATGGAGATGATGGCCTGATGGGACTCCCTCAGAATCACATTTAAACAATCAGCTGTTTTGACGATCCAGTGTTGTGTAGCACGTGTATTCACCTGCACGCTTTTTGGCATTATTTAGTGCATTTAAGGGGAATTCAATTTTATATTAATTTGCATTTTATTGAATAAAAACAAACATCAACATTCAAGCCATGTCATCGCGCTGGTACCCCATCTATCAACGCGGCAATCCCCAGCTGCGGGTATTCCTGCCCAACTTCTGGATGAAACTGGTGCGGCCGGAGGAGGCGCAGCCGCCCAATGTGGTCACGTTTTCGGTGTCCACGGAAATGACGATCCACGATGTGCGCAGCTACCTGGAGAAGATCTACAAGCTCCCAGTGATAGATGTGCGCACTCGCATCGCCCTGGGCGAGACGAGGCGGGACCAGACCTATGGCTATGTCACAAAGAAAGACGATGTGAAATACGCTTATGTAACGCTGGTAGGTGCAACATGCGGCATCATCGCATCTCAATGGGGGGTGGTGCTATCTAATGTTTTCCCTTCTTGCAGCCCAAAACGGAGGAATTCACCTTTCCCGAGCTGTTCGAAAAGAAGGCCGAGATTAAAGAGAAGGAGGAGAAGTCCATGGACGAGTCCAAGAATGGCTTCCGCAAGTTCCTGGATCGCAATAAGAAGCGCCCCGGCACGCCCGGCTGGTACTCCATTTAGAACATAACATACGTTTAAGGCATAGGATTTAAGATATTTGTTGTTGCAACGGCCTATTAAACATTTATTTCGAAAGTCCAAAGAAGTTTTGAAGTAACTTAAAGCTTAGCTCCATTATGTTGACATCTTCTATGCTTCGACTAGTTCTTGGATTCCTTGACAGCGGCAGCGACCCAGGCGCGGATCTTGTCCTCGTCCTGGAGTCCAACCATGCGCTTGATCTCCTTGCCATTCTGCAAGACCACAAGAACGGGCACGGCCCCCACGTCGTAGTCGAGGGCCAGCTCGCTATGCTCATCGATGTCAACTTTGGCCAATTTAATCGAGCCTGCATTTTCGCCCACAATATTCTCAATGCGCGGCGTCAGCAGCTTGCAGGGATTGCACCAACTGGTGGAAGGCGGGGAGGTAAAGAGATTTAGTATGAGTTTTCCTTTTACGGAATGGAATACCACACTCACGTTGCGAAAAAGTCCACAATCACGGGTGTCTGGCTGTTCTTCACCTTTTTGTCGAAATCCTCGGCGCTCTGCACTTTGAAGATCTCCCGACGCTGCGCCGACACTGACAGCGGACGCATCTGCTGTCCATGGATGAGTTGACGCGTGCCGCGTCCCAGGGTGTTTAGCAATTGGCGCTGCATTTTGTATTTGAGCGAAAGAAATGTTATGTTACGAGAATTGATTGCAAAATTGTGGCCTGACAAATGACAAATGACAAAAACAAATGTTGAGGGTGCTGCCAGCTGATTTGTGTGGCGTTGCCACAGAGTCGCGTTCGTTTTCGGCGGGTGTGTGAACACTGCAGCACTAGAGGTGAGCCAAGTTGTTACTTCAAGGTCACGGTGTAATCATGTTATGCGAACAAATTTGAATATTAATTTCACTAAATTTGAACTGCAGGAGTATTAAGTTTCTGCTTACTATTTCTATCTATGCCAGAGATTCCCAGCCTGTTTTGCTTCTAAAATATTTTCCAATTCTTGGGTTATTGCAGGGTCAGAGTTGGCTATTTTCGTGACACCGTTTGACGTGACTTTTCGAACATCTCTAGTTTTGTGATTTTCCTCAAATTCGAAAGTGTGCACACACCCGTTCAGTGGCAGCTATATTTTTTAGTGAAATATTTTTGTTTGTCGTAATATCAGACAACCACTGCGTTTTCGACCAAATTCAGAAATTACTTCAGCTCTAAAAACTCTCGTGGGTCAGGTGACCACCGCCATTGTCAGGAGAAACTATAGCTAGTAGCTACAACAATTATCTGCGACAACACACACGTAGTCGCCGTCGTCGTCGTCGTTGCAGTCGTCGTCGAGTGGAAACCCCAATTAGCGAGCGACCCCCTCGCTAAACTGCGCTGCGCAAATGGCCGTTGGCACTTGTCGGCGGGAATAGTAGACTAGACACCTAGGATACGCGATGGACGATCTGTCGCAGGGCGACATTTGTCGCGTGTGCCGCTGCGAGGCGCAGCAGGACCGCCCGCTCTTCTATCCATGCATCTGCACGGGCAGCATCAAGTACATCCACCAGGACTGCCTGATGCAGTGGATGCGCTATTCGCACAAGGAGTACTGCGAGCTGTGCGGCCACCGCTTCAGCTTTCAGCCCATCTACGCCCCGGATATGCCGCGCGTGCTGCCCGTGAAGGATGTGCTCGTGGGTCTCATGTCCGCGGTGCTGGAGGCCGCCCGCTGCTGGCTCCACTACTCGCTGGTGGGCCTCGCCTGGTTCGGACTGGTCCCCCTCTCCGCCTACCGCACCTATCGCTATCTCTTTCGGGCCAACTCCTTTGACATGATCCTCTCGCTGCCGTTCGACATCTTCTCCATGGATAATCTGCCTTCGGATGCCTTTCGTGGATGCTTTGTGGTCACCTGTACGCTGCTCTCCTTCATTGGCCTCGTCTGGCTGAGGGAGCAGATCCTTCATGGCGGCGGACCCGATTGGCTGGAGCGCGACGATGCCCCTGCGGCCGCCCAGCCAGCTGCGGCTGCTGCCGCTCCAGGGCCTGCGGCCGCCCCTCCGGCCGATGAGGCAGATGCTTTCGCTGCCGCTGCGGCTGCCGCTGCGGCTGCCGCCCAAGATGACAACAACAATGGCGAGGCCCCACAGGATGTGCCCCCCATGGACAATGCAGCACCGGCCCCGGCCGACAACGAAGGCGATGTCCAGGGAGCAGGCGGAGATCCGAGAAATCCAGCTCCAGTTGCCGCTGGGAACCCAGCAGAAGCAGAGGCCGATGAACAGAACTGGAACCCCATGGAGTGGGATCGGGCCGCCGAAGAGCTGACCTGGGAGCGGCTCCTGGGACTGGACGGTTCGCTGGTCTTTCTGGAGCATGTCTTCTGGATCACTTCCCTCAACACGATGTTCATCTTTACGTTTGCCTTCTGCCCGTACTGCGTGGGCAACTTCATACTGAGCTCCATGGACCTGCTGCAGCCGGAGAAGCCTCTGCTGCACTTCCACGGCCTGATAACGACTCTCTTTGGCTACTGCTGCATCGGACTGACGCTCGTTGTGCTGCAATTTCTCGCCCACACCTTCCAAATGCGTCGCGTCTGCTGGTTCATCGGCCTCTGCTACATTGTGGTGAAGGTCTCGCTCCTCTCTGTGGTGGAGATTGGCGTGCTGCCGCTCGTCTGCGGCTGGTGGCTGGACATCTGCTCGCTGCCCCTGCTCGATGCCAGCCTGAAGGATCGCAAGGCGAGCTTTAAGGCGGCCCCGGGCACCTCCCTCTTCATTCACTGGATGTTTGGCATGGTCTATGTCTACTACTTTGCCGCGTTCATCTCTCTGCTGCGAGAGGTGCTGCGTCCGGGCGTGCTATGGATCTTTCGCAACGTCAACGACCCCGACTTCAGTCCCATTCAGGAGATGATCCATGTGCCCATTGTGCGGCACATCCGGCGACTGGTGGCCTCGGCCATGATCTTTGGCTTCGCGGTGCTCCTGATGCTGTGGCTGCCCATACGCATACTGCAGGTGGCCTGGCCCAATTTCTTGCCCTATGCCCTGAGCGGAGATGCGGAGGTGAACGATTTGAGTCTGCAGCTGTTGCTCCTGCAGGTGAGTCGCTGCTCCGCCTTCCTGGAATGCCCGTTAATCCTCTGCGATCCTTTCCATAGATTGTCTTGCCCGGGTTCTTTGAGCAAACCCAAACACGCATCTGGCTGAAGGGTGTGCTCCGCATCTGGTGCACGGCCGTGTCCTGGCTTCTGGGAATACGCAGCTACCTATTGCCCGCTCCAGAGCCCGAGCCGGCAGCCGCCGCCGAAGGCGAGGGCGAGGGCGTGGGCGTGGACGGAGCCGTTGAAAACGCCAATCCAGATGTGGCGCCGCAGGCTCCACCGCCACCACCGCCGCCGCCCCCTGTGGATCCGTTTCCCATACATCTACCGCGAAATCTGGCCGCCGCCCATCAGGCGATCATGCAGCGGGATGCGCCCATGGGCTTCCAGCCGTACGAGAAGCCCACTCTCTTCGCCTTCCGCCTGTGCGCGCTTATGACTCTGATGTGCCTGTCGATTGTGGGCGCCGCCATACTGACGCTGACGGTGCCCGTGTACATTGGTCGCCGCCTGATGGTGCTCTGGACGGGACAGCAGGCCGAGAAAGGAGTTGCTGCTGCTGCCGCGGCGGAAGGACCCCTGCCAGCCGTAGATCCCGAGGCGGCAAGGAAGAATGAGCGACTGTTGCGCGCCCACGAGCTGTACACCGCCGAGATTGGGGGCTATCTTTGCTGGATTGTGCTCCGCGGAGTGGCTGTGGTCGCGACCCTCCTGCCCCAAGGTCGCACGGCGATTGTCAACAAGCTGAAGCACTGGGCCACCGTCACCCTGCAGTACGCCCTGCCCGTGATCACGCTGGTGGGCATCTTTGTGCTTGTGCCGCTGCTTTTCGGCCTGCTCCTGGAGCTGGTGGTGGTGATACCGCTGCGCGTGCCCCTACGCAAGACACCCATACACTTCTTGTGGCAGGACTGGGCGCTGGGCATGCTCTACACAAAGATAGCCATTGCTCTGACCCTCATGGGGCCCGAGTGGCATCTGCGGCGTGCCCTGGAGCGCGCCTACACGGATGGACTGCGAGATTTCGACCTGAAGTTCGTGATGCGGGACTTGGCCGGGCCGGTGGTGACGACCTTTGGCCTTGCCCTGGCCATACCCTATGTGATGGCCAGGATGGTGCTGCCCGTCTTCTTTGTGGATCGCTACACGCGGCAGTGCATCTATCGGCTGGTGTATCCCGTCAGCTTCGCCGCGGTGGGCACCATCTGTTTCGTTCTCTTCCAGATCAAGCAGCTGAAGAAGCTCTATCTCTCGATCAAGGTGGACAAGTACTTGGTGGGGCAGCGTCTGGTCAACTATGAGAACCGCAAGAAGCAGCAGCAGCAGCAGCAGGAGGAGGAGCAGAAGGCACGCGAGCTGAAGGAGCGCAGGGACAAGGAGAAGGAGCTGGGCGTCGATATGGCAATGGTGCCCGAGGAGTATGCCGATCTTTACGGCGCCATCGACGAGGAGCCGGATCATGCGGACCTCCTTGCACGTGTGAGGAGACGCCGAGAGCTACCGCCACGGCCCCCCCTGCGGCCAGACGCCAACGAAGAGCTCCTCTAATGCTGCTCCTCTGCCTGTGCCTATCGTCGTGTATATCTTTGTCGAAGACGGAAGCTGACGGACAAATCTTCAAGTGAAATATACAATTTTTTTTGTTTCTTCCTGCTTAGCGCCCCTTGCTCTACGGCCCCCCCCCACCACACGCATACATATGTTCTTGGTTAAGTTAAGCTTCTGTTGTGGTTAGTTTTTATGTTTTAGCTACAATTGTTGAACTCGAGATGACCCCCGCTCCCCCCACTGACCGTGTCTAGATTCTAGAGTTTAAGTTGTACCTAGGAATATAAGAGAAAACAAACAACACCTATGCATCTACTGCACTTCAAAATAAGTAGATAACCCCCAAAACATAGTGTAGAGTAATGGCCCATATATTAGATCGAAGGCCCTCTTGAGAATCCCTCTTGAGAATCGTCTAAAGGACATGCGAAATTTCCCCTTTCGAGAATCGAAACCAAAACCAAATTCAAAATAGATGAAAATTAGGAAACGATTAACGAAACATACATTTAAAACATTTAAAAACCTTTTCGAGCTAGCTTTACGAACTTGTAAAAATTATATATGTATACATAATAAATATAAATGATTTAAAATTAATTAATAAATTTAACTTTAAACTTCACAAAAAACGTCTACAATTTGGCTGGAGCCTCATCCCCCCCCCAAAAAAAAGGGTTAAACAATTAAAGAAAATTAGCAGAAAAATAGGGAGCCAAAAAGGGAGCCCCACTTGAAAAGACCAAAGAGAAAGCAAAAAAGTCTTAGAGGAGCAGCAATTGCGAAAAGGAGAAACAATGGAAGACCCAAGCCATGGGTGAAACCGGACCCATATAATCTTTATAAGCCTCAACAATGGAAAAAAACGAGTATAATTAATTTGATTTCCATTCTGGCATTTGAATGATCTCTTTCTTTTATTGCCACAAAGGCGTTTCCAAACGCCACTGAAATTGTCTGATAAAATTCACTCCTTCAGGAAAAGGATTCCAATTAGGGCACCAAATTAGTACCAGCCAAAAAAAAAGCAACTAAATGTTAATTGGTGTTCTTTCTTATTCCTTATTTTCTGTTAGGTAATATTTAATTATATATTAGCTATTATTTTATATTTATTTCCCTGGCTGGCCTTTGGGGTTCCAGTTTGGGCTCTAATTCGCGGGCCATGGCCAAATCTTTGTAAATGGTCCACCAATAAGAATTTGGTCATGATCATCAGGAGAATTTCCTATAGTGGAAGGAGGTGCAGTAATATGTATTAAAAAGGGTCCACTAATAAGGATTTTGGAAGGTGGTGCTTCATTTTTGAGACCACGGATTCATTTAGTTAAATACATTTAGAAATTTTTAATAGACTTCTATAATAGACTACTATATCACATGTGCTCCAACTTATGGCAATAGTTTTCTCCTAGCTGAAAAATTACCATTAAATTCGAGGTCTGTCATGGATCTGTATTGTAAGACTTGCGGGCCGCTTTAAGTAATTTAATTATCTTATCTATAAATAATACTAGCAATACTAATGCCATACCATCACGACTCAAGTTTGAATTTGAGGGCACCAGTTAGCACTTGCGGACGAATGGCTCGTATTCCATATCTCTTTCTCTTACTCGATTGTAAGACGAAGGAACGGAGCGGATGTCTGTCTCCGTTCCAGTTGTTGACTTCGTTCATCTCGTGCCTCGCCATCGGGACATGCTCACACGCACATTTTCGTTATCTTGTTGGTCGAGGCACACGGCAGTTTCCAGTACCAAATGGCCTGGATGAAGAGGGCGATCTTTGCCCAAGGTTAGAGGGAAAATTGTGAAGCCAGACATTGCCTGCTTTGGCGAGGACCAGTTTAGATGAAGATATCGAAGAGTGCGACCCTCCGACTATCATGGGCACTGCAATTCGACCAGGACCGAGCTGTGACCGGCTTTGGATAAATTGCGATGCTGTGCGCCGGGCTGAAAGGCGGATCGCTGCCCAACAACAAGGGGGATATGGGCCCTTCTTGGTCACTGTGACGTTGGTGTTGGGGAGGACGATCGCCAGGAGATCAGCTATACGTATAAAATAAAATAATATATTTTTTCCAAACAAAATAAAGACAATATTGCCATAAAATTAGGGTTTCGCTTGCCTGCTGGCCTTCTACATAATTATATTTTGGGGGCTGCTCGCTGCCGCCATCTTTCCAAGCGTCGTCGCTGTTGCTATCTCTTTTCGTCTGCTGGTGCCCGCTGTCTCTGCTGCTGCGCTGCTCGTCGCATCGTCTCTCGGGCCGGCCGCTCTGCTGCGGTTTTTGTGGGCTTCTGTGTGTGTGTGTGTGTGTGTGTCTGGTTTGGAGAGGCTACTGCAGTCCGTCCCCCTTTGCTAATGCCACACTCTCTATCCCCTTTTTTTTGAAGCCCACGCCCGGACAAACGCATGCTTTTGGTTTATAATTGGATTTTGATTCGTTTTGCATAAAAAGTGTGCTTATATTCCAGACGCCAGCCTGACTATTCGCTATGTGTGTGTGTGTGTGTGTGTTGTGCGGCTTCCAGAGGCGCCACTGGGTCCCTGACTCTCCAGTCGCCAGCCGAAAAAAAAAGAAAGAAATTGCCACAGCAACACCAATGACACTTATTTGCCGCCGCAATTGTGTTGCGGCGCTGCTTCTCGTCGCATTTTCGCATTTGAATATAATTTGACTGCATTTTACATTAATTATACCCTCACGAAAGGGTAGTATTACTTGCTCGAGAGGTTTGACACATAACTCTCCATTAATCGGTGGGAAAAGTCCTCGGAAGGGTTCGAAAGGGTAACTCATTTTCTCTCTTTATGTCCATTTGCTGCGTTTTGTTGGTAGTGTATTAGTGGAGTGGCTGTGGCTGTGGCGGTGTTTATTGCACAAAACAAACCACGATTTTGCAAACCAATTTACATATTGCACATACGCATATGCCGCTTCTTTTGATTGGAAAACAGCCCTGGGTACGGGGGGGACGGGGAGCAATTATATTTTGTTGGTCCATAAAACAAATGCATTGTATATGTGGCACAGTCCACGCAGGAGACGCAGCAACTAATTGGACTCGCCCAGGATGAGTTTAGGCGTCACCACAACTGCTCTCTTTCGAGGACCATCCTATGCGGCTGTCAAACGTGAATAACGTCAAGCGTGTGCTATCCCTTTCTAGCGCTTGTCTGTCTGTGAGCGCCGAGAGGGAGAGAGTGGATGGTCCTCCACACAGCGGACGACGTCACCTAATCCTAGACTCCTCAAACTAGAAGATTCCGCTAAAGTCACGAGAAAGAGTTAGGGAAATTCCATTGAAAACAACCAACTTTCTGTCAGGTCAATGAACCAATTTCTCTGTTTTTAAAGAGCCAACTGATCTGCCCCTCCTGCGCCTCCTCCTCTCCGGACACCGATTATGGGGAGCATTTACCAAGAACCCGGAACAAGTGGCTCGTAAGTTGAGGTTAATCTCTCGCATCTTGTTGGTCCTTTTTCCAGGCAGCCAACAGCCAGCAGCCAGAAACTAATAAATTTATACCACCCACTGTGCAGCAGAGCAGCCACCCACCGTGCCCCACTGTGACCATCCCAGCCGGACATTGTCCGGTGAACACACCTCTGAAAAGGATATGAAGCCGAGAGGAGGGCCCGGCCCGAGAGCCCGGCCGAGGCGTATTTAATTTTTTAAGCACAGTCGCTCCTGCCGGAGGAGCTCTGGCGCCGACATGCGTGCTTTATTGGCCATAATCGTGGGGGGGTGGACAGGGCCCAGATGGTGGGCCGAGGGCACTTAGCACTCCTCAAGTTTAACAACTTTACGCTCAATCAGGCGCCCCGTCAGCGGCACAGTGGGCCATAAAAAAAGTAACAGCTCCTCGAACTTCCAACTTTAACCCCAGCCGGGGAGGGCACGGGCTGGCACGGGCTGGCACGGGCTGGCACGGAAGCGCGCCCACTGCCGGTCTTTAAAGTGTGCGAACACTGTCCATTGTTGTTGTTCTTGTGGCTGACAGGAAAAACAAACCCCCAGCACAGGAAACTCGCCCAAGAGGTTAACAAAAAAAAAACGCCCAAAAGAGAAATAAATACAATGGGGATCCTCTTTTGGGCTGCAAAAGTTTTTTTGTTTTTACGCTGGGGTTTGTAAAAGGAATTCCCTGCACAAATGAGGGGTACATTAGTGCAGGTAAAAGGGTGGTAATGGGGTGGAAAGCCCTTGCAAAAGGGCTCAAATAGGGCCCAAAAGGAAAGCCTCGACCAGCTCTCGAGTCCCTTGGCCTGATCATCGAATTCTGCTACTGCCAAAGAGCATCCACAGATCGCCGTGGGACCCCAGCTCAGATCCGTTTTGCACCTATTTGTTTTATATTTTCCCCCTTATTTTTCTGAGGTTTTTGTTTTTAGGACTCGCCCAGTTTTGGTTTCCTTTCTTCCCATCTACCGTCTCCCATCTCCCTGGGCAATGGCTTTTATACAAATTATTTTATTTTGCGTTGGGATAATAATAAATTATGGCAACGGAAATCAAAAGGCCACTCCACTCCACTCCATTCCATTTCATTCCACTCCACAGTAACAACAACAGACATATTTTCTATGTTGCTCTAGCTTTTTCCCCTGCCCCCCCTGCCCCCTCCCCCAGTCCCACCACCGAAGCAGAGGATGCGGATGCGGATGCGGATGATGGCGGTTACCATGGAGCCGGGGGCCCCCCGCCCCCCTGGTGTATCACTATAATAGAGCATAACGAGCTTAAGAGAGGGTGTCAAGGGCTGCCGGCAGGTTGCCACACACTTGAGAGATTGTTGCAACAAAGCTGTTTTTCAGTTTGCTTTTGTTTATGGCTAATTTTAGACAATTTATGGAGTGTTGGTTGCCGCTTGATAAGAGCTTCAGCACCAGCGAAGGCAATTCATGCAAATGAGCTTCGCTTAAAGCCGTGTCCCAGTCCCCCCCAGTCCCCCAGTCCCCCAGTCCCCACCCCCCATGCTCGTGTGTGGCACGAATGATAAAGCTGCGACAACGGGGATACACTTTTTATGCGAGGTGTGTGGGTGCGTGTGTGGGTGGGTGCGTGTGTGTGGCATGGGGCATGAAGATATCACTGCTGACATATGAAGTTGTTAATTTTCACAACAACAAAGTGGGACGGGAAAGTGTTTGCAATGAGGAGCATAAAGAATGCTTTTGGATGTTGACAGGAGTTCGGCGACGTCATGGAGGAAGGACAGGAGCCCCCTCCCGGCTCTGTTTATCCTTTGCTTAATGCGCAAAAGCAACTCCAGTCTCCAGTATCCAGTATCCAGTCCGCAGGATTGTTTAATATTACCCCCAGGGTCCCCAAGGATTTGTTAACATTTATTATAATGCGAATCCTAATTAAAGTCGGGCACATGTCGCCAAGAGAATTTCTAATTGAAATTTAAAACAGAAATCAACAACAAATATATTTCCCAAATTGAATTAAATATTGTGGGAAAACAGAGTGGAATTTCGAATGAATTTCCCAAAGAAATCGATGTCCTGTTTGGGGCAAAAGGAAACCTGATGGGGGAACCAAGTTTCAGCTGGAAATCCGCTTAGGTCCCTCAAGAAAAAGTCATCAATTTTTGCTGTAACATAAGGTGGTTCTACAGATGTCTAATGGAGCCATCAAATTGCATTCTGTGGTGCCTTGTCGGGTGCTGAGCAACAGGGCAGGACAGGACAGGACAGGAAAGGACAGGAGAGGGGCCAGCAGGACCCAAAGAGAGGCAGTTATGACCGACTGACCGATTGCAAAATGCATATTCACATAGTTGGAAATCCAATTAAAACTATTTTCCCCAGGCAGCTTAATGAAGTCTGCTTTTCCATCGGAATTTCTGCATTCAACATCATCGGGCATTCCCTTTGGGCATTCTGGGCATTCGATCTTCCGTTTCGAATGATTTTCATTTAACATTTTCGTTCAATGAACTTTCAACAAAGTTATAAATGGTTGAAATTTCTGCACTATCCCCGTGCCACCCCACGTGCCACCCCACCACCGCTCGACCACGGGGCTGGTCACTCCAACACGCGGCCAAAAGTTTTCCATTTCTTGGTACTACTTGAGCACGCGCTCTGGCGGGTCGAAATGTTTTGGGCCACTTTCAGCTTTGACATAATGCAAATTATATGATTTTCTTTTCATTATTTGTACAGCACTTCCCCTAAGTGTTTAATTTGGCTAACATTTCCATAGTCTTGTGTGTGTGGGTGGGTGTGGGTGGGTGGGTGTAAGTCTTGGCCTTGTCAAAAAACCACAAAACAATTTAAGTTAACAAACCTTCGGGGAACTTTTGCTATTTGTCGCCAGCGACAATTGCAGCGACAACAGACACCAGACAGGCTTTGACTTTGAAAGGAAAATCTCTCCCTGTCTGTCTGTGTGTGGGTGTGTGGGTGGGGGGTGGGGTGGAAAACTTTTGAGTTCTTTCTTTGTGATTAGGCTTTTCTAGCAACATACTGACTTTCTCTTTCGAAGAGCGAGAGATAGGGAGAGAGAGAGCGAGGGAGAGAGAGCAAGTAAAGCCTTCGGGCAGACCCTGTTGTTGATGTGGCACACATGGCGTATGATTGACATTCCCCTCACATCCTTCAACATCCTCCTGTCATTAGATCTCCACTTGAGTGAGTCCTCCGTCCCTCATTGCCACTAAGAGGACACTCGTGGAATGAGTACTACTTCGTTTAATATGTTTGGACATTGATTAATTGTCAGTCGAGTCGTTCGTTCAGTGCTTCCTTCTCGCTGGAACTGATTTTCGGGCAGGGTATTCCCCGCTTCGGCGTGCTCGGGTGTGCCCGTTTCCCGTTGATTTGCTTTCGTTTACATTTCATTAGATTCAAATTTGATCATAATCATCATCATTACAGCAGAGGCTGCTGCTGGGGGCAGGGGTTGGGGCAGGGGTTGGGGCTGGGGGCTGGGGATGGGGCTAAGGCTGGGGTTAATGTGCACAGCTGGGTGCCCGTGAAATCAAAAGGATAATAGGATTAGATTAATTACAAATGGCACGGTGACTAAGAGCGTGTACATTGTACATGCATACATATATCTATCACATGAAGAGACTTAGAAAATTAAGCAACGCCCACAACAGATTAGGAAGGATACGTGTACAGACATTTGTGTAATGTAACGGGAATCTCTCACCTATGCGGATCCTCTCCCACACACTTCCTAACTCGCCCCCCTCCCTACCCTACAGAGCAGGCAAGGCAGGCTATCCATATTCCAAGGCAGCAGCAACAAAAAGCAAGCCGCTCTTACATGCATAGAAGCGCTTACCTGCGCTCTTAAGTTTTCGCCTACGCTTTGGGTCATTGCACTCGCAACGACACCACATGCAGTAGGAAGAGAGGATCAAAGATAAGAACTCTTCAAATCTACCTCTCCTCTGCTGATGATGTCATCTATGCGCTCACTCCCTCCACGCTCCTAGAGCATAAGGCAAAGCAACAGCACACACAATGCAAAAGCAAAGCCGCTCTCAGCGAAGGTGTTGCGCTCTTAAGTTTTCGCCTCCCTTTTAGGGCATTGCCCCTGCACTCACACCACATGCAGTAGGAAGAGAGGATCAGCAATAAGAACTCTTTAAAGTAATCTACCTCTTCTCTGCTGATCCCTCCCTCTATCCATCAAAGCAACAGCACACACATTGCAAAAGCAAAGCCGCTCTCAGCGAAGGTGTTGCGCTCTTAAGTTTTCGTCTCCCTTTCAGGGCATTGCCCCTGCACTCACACCACATGCAAGAGGAAGAGAGGATCAGCAATAAGAATAATCTACACACCTCTTCTATGCTGAAGAGGTCATCTATGCGCTCTCTCCCTCTACCCTTCAAAGCAACAGCAAACACCTCACATAAAAGCAAAGCCGCTCTCGAATTTTCTCAGAGAGTGCGTTCACCTTGAATTGAGCGAATGCTGCGGGAAGAGCGCTCGTCGCAGACGCATTTTTTTTTGCAACGTGAAGCTAAAATTGCGGAAAAATAGTGGAAAAAGTGCGGAAAATTATGTAAAAACCCGTGTGATAAGTGTAGAAAGGGTTTGCAAAGAAAATCTGCAGGAAAAGTGGTGAAAAATGTTGTGAAAAGCCAGGAAAGTTATGAAAAGTGGTGGAAAAAGGCCGCAAAATGCAATTCCATGTGTATCGAGAGCCAAAGGATAAGAAACAATTAAAAAAGATCACTGCAAGTGCGCAAATAATCAATTTCAATGTTTTTTTTCTTCGTGAAAAAAAGGTCCGAAAAAATTAAATTGCGTCGCAGTTTTAGCGCTGCTTCCAGCGCTCGTTTCCAGCTATGGGAATTTGAGTGGAAAGAAGACGATGCAAAATAACGGCATCAGGGCGAGTCCCTTCGCTTGAGTATTTTTTGTTGAGTTTTTTTTGCTTTTTTCTGCTGTGAAAGTGAGTGTGCAGTGCAAAAAGTGAGTGAAAGTGTTAAAGTGAGATCAAATTCGAAAAAAATCTACCGCTAGAACTGTATAAAGAGCGTAAATAGGAGTAAGAGAGAGAATATCAGCAGCAGCGGCCTCTCTGGCTTTGCCAGGAAAGGAATGTAAGGTATTTTTAGCATTTATTCCGTTATGGCTGTATTAATTTTCGTTTGTTTTATTGGAAATGTTCTGCTAATTAAGTTCTGCTTTAACAGAAGGAAAATTGCTTTCCAGTTGGGGAAAACTTTTCATCTAGCACGAAAAGTTCTTTGGCTCGGTTTGTGAATGTCATTTATGGGGAAACACTTAGGCTTACAACTAGGCCACAATAAGGAGGTGGGTGGTGGTTGGCGGGTGGTGGGTGGTGGAAGACAGCGAAGGGAAAGTCAGAGCCATGGCAACATTTTGCAACTAATGACAGAACCACAAACTGAAGTTTCGACAAGTCGCAACACTTTGAATTGACGAACTGCTTGCCACGTGACACATGTGTACAATTCGAGAACTTTGTCTCCCTCTTACACTCGGGCTCCATGCGAGAGGTTTTGGTCGTTTAATCATTTGCATGCGATTTAATAAATCAGTTGGATTGGAGAGTTTTTGATGATTTGTTCTCTATGTTCTCTATGGACTCTATGGGTATCTACAAATGTACATTATTTCTTTAGCTTCGGTATTCCATTTGTCCATCTGGGGCTCAGAACTTTTGGCAACATCTGTTGACCCTTCCCCCTTCCCAGCCCATGCATATGATATGTGGAACAAAAGCAATCCCTGACGGGACTCTCTAGGGATAAACTTTACCCAAAATGCAAAGAGTACTCCCTCTCTCTCTCTCTCAGCGTGTGTAAGTAGGCCAAAAGTAAGGGGAAGGCCATCAAAAATGTAGCCATGATATGTGGCATGCAGCATGGGGAAAGCAAAGAAATGTGTTGCATTGTAAACTTTTTAATAAAGCCACAAAATAGCCAGAGAATAGCCAGAGAAAAGAGGAGTGTCTGTGTGTGTGAGAGGGGAAGGACGCGTGCCATATGGGAAATGGAAAATGGAAAATGGACAAAACAATATTTGATGCATGACAAATCTGCTCGTAGAAAAATTGTTGTTACAGACAGATAATACAGTGATTTCTCCATACAATGGAGATGCTGCCAGCCTGCCATCCCGCCATCCCGACAGCCACATTTTTATGCGGGGCTTTTCTCATGCATATAAAATGCTGTGGAAATATGCAGATTATAAGAATTTCCAAAGGATACAGAGGATACACATGCATGAGGGCCCAAGAAGAAGGCGAGGATCCCTCCCTTTGCTGGCCCCTCATTAATTTGTATTCATTCACCTTTCAATCTGAATCACGCATTCATTATTCATTCGAAGCGTAAGCCCAGAGGGAAGCGGGGGGAAACTCTATCTCCATTTTCTCCACGATTTGCCCGCCGCACACACTCAGCATTCAACATAAATCTAAATCAGCTTTCGGTCTAGCCACTTGCCGCTTGCCACGTGCCACGTGCCACAAATGTGTGAAATGTGTCTCCCGCTGCAAACAATTCCCACACATTTCATTCATTTTTTTTCGTTGTGTTCTGTTTCTTTTTAATTCGCACAAGTGTCGTCCCCACCACGACACAGGGCACACAGCACCCCCTCCCCCCCTCCTCCCCCTCTGACACCAGTGGCAACGTCAACAACAACAACGACTGCAAGTGGCAACTAGCAGCCGCAAGTGGCAGGGCGGTTAATTGGAAATGAACTCAACAGAGCAAAGGGCACACAGAGAGGCAACATGGCAGAGGTTCATTGCCAGAGCAATGGAAAGGTGATCCCCGTGATGGATCCCTGACAGATGAGAGTGGAGGAGGCCCGCTCCCACCTGGGCAGCGAGCTGTAAAACAGTTTCATGTTTAAGCAATTACTATTTATTGGGAGTTTCGATCTGCTGGGATCGTGGGATCCTCAGTTGAGCGCCGACACCGCCTTCTGGCCATAGGCTCCACCATAGTGACTCTTCTTGAGAGGTTGGATCCCATCTGGAGCTTGTCGAGGGGACCATAGCGCTTGGCCAGCAGAGGTCGGACCTGCTCCCAGGCATGCCAATCGGCACCGTCCAAGTTCGCGGCAGAGGCGGCAGCACCAGGGGCATCGACCACATCCACATAGCCGCCGGGACCGGAGCGGTAGCTGGGCCTGTGTGCCACAATGGCCGAGATGTAGCAGGCCAAGAGCAGGCAGAGGAGACGCATCTACCATTTGTGTTGGCCCGCGATTCGTGTGCTGCCCAGACGGGACCCAAGTCGATGCCCAGTGCCGCGGGGCGGATCAGGCACTTTCGGGGTGCCCCGGCAGCATCCACATCTCAAGCCTGATAAGGCCCGGAGACTCCAACGCCACCGGCTTCCATTTCTATGCTGACAGAGCCGGAGCCGGAGAACCAGCCAGCAAGGACTACCACAACCTCCGGGAAGAGAGGCTGGCCGCCCCAGAAGCGAGCCCCCGGCTAGGCTCAGGCGCTGGCCACCTCCACTGCACTGCACTGCACTGTATCTGCAAGAGGCCGAATGTGGCACGAACATGTTTGAACAGTCGGTCTCCAGGGCAATTATCTCTGCGCTGTGCCTCCTGGAAACATTTTTCATTAAACTCAATTTTGATGCGTGAAAAAGGAGTTACGCTTTCGAGGGATGTGCCCGAAAAACGTGTTAAATTTTTCGCAATTTGTTACTAATTTTGGTTTCGGAATTTGGGCAATAAAAAACTAAATTTGTTTGCAATGAATTGGCACCGATTTTGGGCGAAATATGGCCCAGAGAAGAGTACTTTTGCCTGGTGTGGTACCCATGTAGAGTACATGTACATGTATATGTATGTAAATATGAATTTTACATGTAGATAAGAATCCTCTGGTCTGGGGCTATGGTTTCCCCTTTCGCAAAAGACCTTCCGAAACGCAAAAGCAAGTGAAAAACGGAGCCCGCTCAAAAAACTCTGACAATTTCCACAAAAGTCGATGAAATGTAGAGTGTATGTCGTACATATCTACCCAATACTCTACACTGCATGCTACATTCTACACATCGGTGTATAATCTTGGTTTATGGGCTATCGAATGCTCTCTGGGGCTTCATTCGTTCGTGTTTGTCTAGTTTTTGGATGAGAACTTGTTGCCTTGACCCTTGTTGGTCGTAGCTCCTCGTTGCTGCCGCATGCTGTTGCTTCATTAGCAAAAACACGTCCAGAGAGTGGACCAAAAGGGGCTGAAGAGGCCGAGCCAAAAGAGGGTCTAAGATGCAGAGGAATTGGGAAAGAGGTGCCTCTGAAGAGGCCCTAAGGGAGAGGGCCAAAGGACACACAAGGGGTTTCAAATCACTCTGACCCCAAAAACACTGGGACCATCGCCTCACAGATGCTGTAACCCGAAACGCAGTCAAATGTCAACAGCTGCGGAAAAGCTGGGGAAAGCCAAGAAAACAAGAGACGGGACGAGACGAGACGAGCTTCGGGGGCAATACTTTTCGACAGTATGACGCCCTTGTGTATCCCACGCCCACATTATGTCTGTGTTTCGCCAGTGTACATAATATATGTACTTAGGCATCGTGGCATGGGGCGGGGATCATATTTATGCGATTGTGTAGGATGTTGGACCTCTTCTCGAATGCTTAGGACCCGCGCCTGGAACTCCTTATTATTAAATGCCAGGGCAGAGGCGCCTTAGATGGAGCCTTTGAAGTCCTCGCCAGGACGACTGGAATGTGGAAGGTGTGGCAGCTGCTGGGGAAATAAGCCTCGCAGATGCCACCGCCGTCGATGAATCTGAATCTCCAGCTAAATGGTTTAGTGGGGGCTTATTTTGAATGTATTTCGCGGGCTCGTGGGTTCAAAAGCAATAATTTACTTGATTTCACGCGCCTCCAAGGCGGCGGCTCCAGCCTCCCAGCCTCCCATCCTCCCATCCTTCGGAGTCTAAATGGATACCAAATGGAACGCAAATTGTGTGGAATTATGATTATTGTTGGGATTACTAGTTCTCGGGGTTGGGTGTTGGTGGCGTATCACTCGCTTAATTGCTTTTTCCTCTGACATTAGCTAATGAAAAGTGTCCCTGCCGTAACCAGGAAAAGCGCCACGAAGGAGTTGCCAAGAAAATTTACCGAAAATTGGCTTTACCTTCGATGCGAAAATTGCCAAAAAAAACTTGTCCCTTTTCAGCAATAAATTTGCCTAAAAATCATGCAAAATGGTAACAGATTTCCCTTCCCATACGATACACGACGATATACGATATACGATACGATGTATACATTTTCAAACAGGATTCCTTTTTCTTTCTAATTGATTTATGAGATAAAAAAAAGGCAATTTTCGATGTAGAGAAAAAGTTTAGCGAGGCAGAGAAACTTTTGTGGATAGAAGATGTTAATCCTCCGGGGAGAGCCCCCTCCCCTGAGCCCCCCCTATAACATATGCCTGCCCGTTGACGTCATACTCCCTTTTGGCCAGAGAACAATGGAAAGTCGGCTTCAACAAGTGTTTGCAAAAATGCAAATTGTTGTCCCAAGTAGTTTGTGGCTATATCTACATATTTAACTACAAATACATGCATGTATCTACACAATACATATCTACACATACATCTTAAATACATGCATATATCTTTTTCGTATCTTTATTATGGATTATGAAAATGGGAAAATAAGGCAAATGTGCGGTATTTGCATAATTGATATTTAAAATACAAATTGAAAAGCATAAGAAGACGGCCATCCCCCTTGAGAGAGAGAGAGAGAGGGAGAGAGTAATATGTCTCCTGGTCATATATATTAATTGAAAAATAATATACATGAATGAAGGATATGGCCCAAAAGGGTTTGCCACTGGACTCCGCCCCTTTCTGAGAGTGTGGGCGTGGCAGGGGGGAGTCCTGAAACGTTGAGTGGCGCCTGAGCTGCTTTTGCAGGGCCGCCACCCTCCACCCTCCACCGCATGTGTGGATCTGTGGCATTTTGACGATTTTGCCTCCGGGAAAATGCAGTCGAGTGCATGGCCAAAGAGACGGCACAACCAAGAGGGAAAGAGCAGTACAATTAAGCGAAAGAGAAGGGACTATTGTGAGAGAGCGAGAGGACTATTGTGGGCATAAGTAGGGCCGACAGAGAGAGAGGCAGCAGATAGTCATTTACTCAGTGGAAAAGTTAATGATGCTGCCACACAGCACAGCACGGCACGGCACATCTTTCAAACATTTACTTTTGTAATTAAATTTGCAACAACTGCGGCTGCAACACACTAAAGGCGGCAGAGGAAGTGCTACGCGGCTCTATTTGGGGCGTCATTTAATATGTAATTAAACGTTTATCATCTCCTCGCGACACAAAATTACCCTGTAAAGCCCCCAATGGGAGCTCCAAGGAGGTAGGACCCATCTCCTATCAGAGTATTTCAGAGATTTCGACGAGACTTTGCCCCGAAATGGATCGCATAAATGGATGCATAAAATATTAACTATTAAAAGCCGTCTGTAGCCCAAACAAAGGCCTCGTTAAATGACATGTGTTGCCTGATTAAATGTTGATTTATAGTTTATTAAATGGCAAAAAGGTCTTTTGTTGCAGAAGTTCTCTGACATTGAAATGGGAATTAAAATCATAATTAGATCAGTAGCGTTTTTTTTTTTTTTAATTTTTTGTATAAAAAAAATACATAAACTATGCAAGAATTACCCCACAAATTAAATTAAATTAAGTAGAATTTTGAGTGCATTTTAAATGCATTTTCAGCTCCAATTAAATGAATAGTTATTTAAATCCGTGTTTTGTTGGGAAAAATCTATCTATGGAAACACTAGGAAAAATCAGTGAAATTTATATGAATATTAATTAAGGAATCGGTGAATTAAATACACTGTAAAAAGTGGGAGGGGTAGAGGAAAAAGTAGCCTGAAACAGGCTAAAATCAGTGAACTTTTTTTTTAAAATTTTTTAAAATGTAGAAAATTGCATTTCCCAAAAATGAACGCCGAATGCAGTGTTTTTGTTGTTTTTGTGGGGATCCTCTAATGTACTCTGTCCCCAAAATTTGGTCTTAAAGCACGAGACCGGACCTGCGACCCTTTTTTCAGTTGCTTTTCTTTTTCTTTCTTGGCAAAATAAATATTTGGCGACACTTTTTTGTGTCGCGGCATTTGTTTTGGCTTAGTTCTCTGCTCTGCTCCGTTCTGTTGTTGATTTTTTCAAGGGCAGAGCAGAGCAGAGCAGAGGAGAGACGGACGGAGGGGCCATCATCATCATTAGAGACAACCCACGTTTCTTGTCGCTTGTCTAGCCGCTTGTCTCATTTGTTATTTCGACAGTACAGTTTTTTTTGGCAAAGGGATTCCGGCAAAACTTTTGCCTAATTAATGGCAAATGTTGGCCAAAAACCCCACTTAAAATGATCGATGACAGCAGCGAAAACAAAGCCAAAACAAAAGCCAAAATTGTTAAATGAAAATGCAAACAAACATGCTAATAAAAATGTTTGCCATAAGGGGGAAAAAACTGAGGAAAATTACGAATTGGTTGCCCTACAATATGTTTATCTATGATGATGATGGAATGCGGAAAGTTTTCCTCGGCAGGGGCTTGTCTATAAATAAATGGCCAACATTGGATATTGTTTCCGATAAAAAATACATAAATTTGTACAGCTAAATTGCGATAAATATGTATTTCCCATTTCCCATTTCATGTTTGTGTTGTGTTTAGTTTTCTTCTGTCTAATCGTTGGCCTGTCCCACATTTCCCTCTGGTTTTCCCAAAAATCCAAAAACTTGCCTGGCTCTCATTTCCCGCCAGCATTAAGGGGGGGGGGGGGGGGCTCCGCTTATCTGATTATTGGCAACATTTTTGGAGGGGGGGGCTTGCCACATGCAGCCCGACAACATGCCGCATGATTTTCTTCATCATCGGAGACCACCAACAGGCGGCCATAATTTTGTTAGTCTCGTGGCTGGTGGATGCACTGCGGCTCTAGGACTCTAATTGATTCGTTTTGGGTGCGCAATGATTGGTGTTTTTGGGGTGGAGGGGGGATTGTGGTGGGGGGCAAGGAATGTCCATCGATCAGATGGACTGCTGGCCTGCTGGCTTGCTGGCCTGCTGGCTGTTCATTAAATGTGTCATAAAATGCTGGCCTCCCCCCCAGCAAATAATCTAATTAAGAGAAACCCCCCACAGCCCCCCCCCCTAGAAATCAGAATCGGATT